ACACACAAAGCCACCGCCACCTATCATTTATTGCTGCACCCTGGATGGATGAGCCTCATCTTACCACTGCAGGGAAACTACACCTGTTCCCCTCCCTTTGAACCATTCTTCATCCACTGCACGAAAGTTAGTGAAGTGGTAAAAAAAAACAAAACAAAAAAAAAACTTACGAAAAATCTAAAAAATTGCAAGGTTTTTCACTTCCATTGCTCAGCACAGTTTTTAAGCCATAAAATTTCATTTTCCACTTCTTCTACTTCTGCATCTGCTGTAGTATTTTTCTTCTCGTTACGTTCATTTATTAAGTTTTTATTTAGGTGATTTTGTTCAATGCTCCTCATCCAAGTATTCACTTTCATATTCTGTTTAAATATGGAATCAAACCAACAATGGGTTGGATCCAAAGCAGCATCCCATTTTGCATTTAGGAATGATTCTCGGATTCAAAGATTCCAATTGATGATTATGGGCTTAGTTGTAGACAATGTGCTATATACACATTTTCACATATTCTTTCGAAACCTCAGGACGACAACTCCAGTTCTGTCGCTTAAAATATAGAGGCAGTGGCCAACACACACACACACACACACAAATGTATGTATGTATATATAAGCATACACGTACACATACAAACAAATAGTTGCATGCTTAAGTTGAAGTGGGAAATCAAAATTCAAAAAATACAACATTATACTCACAGCCTTGGTGGGTAACTTGGGTAAGAAAAAAAGGAGAATGCTACACTAATAATGTAGCAACAGCAAACATCTTAAGCCCACTTGCTTTTTTGGGGGAATTAATTACAATTCCAGACCAGAAGAGCTGCAAGCAAGAGGGAGCTTGCTGCTGGATTCAAGCAACACAGTCAATCAACATTAGAACCTTATCCAGTGTCTTGTGCTGTGCACACCATACACACTTTATAAAACCATTTTTCATTTCACTGTAGGAGATGTTAGAATCTGACTTGTGAAGAGCCTTGTTCAGGCAGTAACACACAGTGAAAAAGGGCCTTTGGGGGTTGCCATTGTTCTCATTCCACAGCATGAGATAGTGGAGCCACAACTTCAGAAGAGTGAAGGGGGTGGGTTGCCAGCTTGGACTGCCCGCTTGGATTTCCAGCTTGGCTCAACAACCCTCATAAATACCTGCTCCTCCGCTTCAGCCCATTGTGGTCTAAAGTGTTGGCTGGGCTGAGTTGTGTGTGGAGAGTGTGGGAAGTGAGGGAGGGAGGGGACAGTCACTAGTTTCCAGCAGGTTTGAAAATTTCGAACTGGAGCAACCACCAAGACACATCTGTACATCCACTTCGTTTTACATCCACGTGGAAATGGAACGACATTCATCCGTATGCTTGATTTTTGTAGGGGAACCCAGAGGATGTTTTTATTGTTCCAACTTTCATGGATCCAGAGCCAAAAGGCTTTCAATAGGAAAAGTGAGTGAGTGAGTGAGTGAGAGAGTGAATGAATGAATGAATTGGGCCATTACTTACAGTACTACTTCTATATTTGAGAGTGTGTGTGGAGTTTCATATTGTGGACTTTTCTCTTTCTTCTTTTTTTAACACATGAGATGGTAATAAATGGGGCATGCTTTTAACGAAAAAGCTCACAAGTTCATTTACCTCTGCAGAGAGAGTCTTTCGATTTGGAAACATTATGGATCTTATTCACTTTTTGATACCAAAGGAGTTGTTGTTCCTTTCCTATCTTTGTATACAAGTCAACCTGTAATAAATTCGAAACCCTTAAAAAGAAAAGCAGATGCTGCCCTCAGCCCTAATTAGGGATGATTATTATTATTGATGTGCATTATGCCATATGCAGAGAGACCTGGTTTAGCATTACTATCCTATTTTGTCAAATACTTCATACATGCTTTTTTGTTCTGGAACAAAGCATCATCTCAAATGCCGTGATTTTTTTTGTTTGTTTTATGATTTTCTATTAATATGAATATGTTGTTTTATAGAGAAATTATGATCCACAGTGAATTTCAGTTGTAGAGGATTGTACGTTTAACAAAAATAAAATAACATCTGAGATGATTTATCGTAAAATGTTACAGTAAAAATCTGATCTTTGGGATGGCTCCACAGTTTCATTTATCTTCTATCCATCTTCACCTTTTTGTTTAAATTCCAAATGCAATCAATTCAGATACTGCTTTGAATCATCAATAAGCCTTTTGAATCCACAAATCTATGTGAGGCCTTCTAATCAATTCCTAAAGCTGCACCAAATCCTCCCAAATTTTTAAACACATACTTAAATTATTCTCAATTCAATACAAAAGTTCCTCATGACTTGCTAAAATCTGTCCATGCATGGAACTGGACTGATGTCCAAGATGTCCAAATAAAAGGATACCTTCCATGTGGTCTATTTGTGTATATTCTATTCACTTGGCATCTTCTTGTGTAGAAACTTAATGCCTATGGAATTTGATTAATTTCCCCTCTATTTGCTTCCTTGATGAAAATCTGTTGCATTGGAAAGCATTGATAGAAAAGCGTCATCTATGTAGCACAGCCCACACTATGCAGAATCTGTTTTTTCTCAATGAAAGCATCCCATGTGTGCATATTATTTAAAAATTGTGTTTTTTTGAAGTCCATTCAATAGCCCATCAACAAATCTATTAGTTGTTTCTATGCTTGTTTCAAACAAATATGGTTTTTACAAGAGGGACCCATTTTAAATTCTTACATTTTTTACATTTGTTAACAATTTCAAAGTGAAGACAACAGAGAAATTGCTGCTGTGGTGCATTTATGAGGTGAGTCATTCAGAGACATGGCACCAGGTTTTTTTTTTATAAATAACTCAATGAAGAGGATGAGTGCTCCAAATTGCTGAATCATCAAAAGGCCAAAAGGTCTCAGTACTAACTCAAGGCTGCCATCAATGCACCATGGAAAATAAAAATAAAAATGATAAAATAAAATAGCAATTGGGCTTTGGCCTTTGACAGTAGCCTCCAAGTTAATATCATATCTGGGATCATGTCTTTAAAGCAACAAGCCACCTTTTAGGCATGCTCTGTGATTGCTGGTTCCAGATTCAAAGGTCATGTGGGAAGCAAAGCAAATTCCATATGCAACAACACCATTGGTTAAAAGGAAAAAAGGAAATAAAAAAAACTACACGGAATTGTACAATGAGTGAGTAGAGATTAGGGTTTTGTCTTTGTACATCAGGGTGTCAATACTTCTCTATGGTTAAGTTACACTTTAGACCACAATTCTGAACCAAAATAATACAGATGTGGAAATCCACTGTGTGAAATGCTTCCACATTGGTTGTTGAGGATAAACCTTTATCTCTCTTTTCCAGTTTTTTTATACATTTTTTAATTTTTTAAAAAATATGTATTTCGGTAATTTTTAATGGGTATTGTTTCTTTTCTTTTCATTTTGTTGAAGGAGGTTGAGGATATACGTGTTTCACACTCTTTTAGAATTGATGGCTTTTTGCAAGATTGTAAGTTGCAAGTCAATCATGGTTTCTCAAATGTACATACTGACTTTTTTTTGAAACTACAACAAGATTTGAGGTTCAAGTGGCCCTTTGTGCATTTCTCCTTCTATGGGTTGTTTGCCTAAAATTTCAATAACCATAAAGAGTATAGCACAGTAGTTGTTTTTGTTGGAGGCAACCCAGCTGATTTTTAGACACTTTGTTTTCTTAGTAACTATAATTTTAGTATAAAAATGCTTAAAAAACCCAATCTACATGTTTATTTTGTTTTTTTCAAAAAGTAGCATTTAAAATTTTGACAATGAGCATAGACATGGACGAAGCCCTTTAAGTAAATTCAGAATATTAAAAACAAATAGATTTAAAGATAAATCACCAAAGAAGTAACATAGAAGTGGTAAAAATATAAAGCTAATGCAGCCAGCAGGAATGATCCAACTAATTTGATGCTTTTCTCTTGCATTCTTGAAGAGCCTCACTTGTCAACATCTAAATACACAACTAAAATAACATCCAAGCTGGTGACCATAACAACAATAGTTTCAATGGCATTCAAAAGAACATAAAATAGTTTATTGTCATACATAAACAATCCAAAGCCCAAATGAGTTTTTTCGAAAAACGAGCCTTGTTGAACATTAAAATCCATGCCTGTCAAACCAGGGCCTTAAAATGCAAAAAACAGTTCAAACTTGTGGTTATCTGATTTGTCTCTCTTGACTTCCCAAATTCACACTCTTCAGCATGTTGCTTTGTTTATTGTATTGACCTTGGTTTGAATATCAGTGAACCATGTGTCATCCAAGCTTTTTTATGAACTCTGCTGTTCTCAGTTCTGCAAAAAAAGTTATATTTTGTTTTGTTTGGGTTTTGATTTCAAAAATTATTTTAACACTTATGATGATTGAATTGATTGAAACAGATCAGTTGCTGCAGCAGCAGCAGAAGTCTTTTTTTTTGCCCACCCCCCCTTACTTCCCGTTTCCATGGGAAATGAGCTCACATACGGTCACAAGCAAGCAAGCACTCACAGATGGAGGGGGGGGGGGATGAGAACTGGGCTCCAGCCTCAATTGCAGCGACGCAGCTTGACTTAATCACAAGGGCACCAGGCACGGCACTCAGCAAGCAGAGGGCCAAATAAAGGCACAGGGAGGGAGGGAGGGAAGGGAAGGGGGGGGGGTGTGATAGCAGAATTGCAAGGGCATTGATTGAGGTCGGGTTAATAATTGTGTTTGGGCAACCTCCTTATCAAATAGTAAGCTCTTTATGAGCTTCATCATTACAGGGCCTAAATAGCAGTGAAGGCCAGCAACGGAGCCGAGAGGAAGATCTGATCGACGGATCGAGGACCGCGGGGTACGGTATAGACACACACACCAGGAGAGTAGCCTGCTTCTACTGCTCCTACTGTTGCTACGCTGCTATGCTACCCTGCTACCCTCCTCTTGTAGGTGGCGCATGGAGGGTGGGTGGGAGGGAGTGAGCCAAGGCGGGAGGGGGGGAGAGCGTTAGTTTGAAGGTTGGTGGCTGGAGGCTCCGGTGGGCCGCTAAACTTATACTGCGGCCTCCGCTTTCTCCTGCTCTTCGGTCTTTACCTTTGCGCCTTAGCAGTTTTCGGACCTTTCCAGACTTCCACACCCGCATTGAATGCGCCATATACCCCCAGACTGACCAGCTATTTCCCCCACTTTCCCAGGGCTTCGTTGTTGCCTGGTTCCGTCGTCGTCGATAGCTAGCACATTGCCAGTGTCCTCCTTTCTCACCCCTCCTCTCCCCTCCCACCCCTTTCCTCTCTCCTCCAGCACACTGCGTTGCATAGCTTTGTGGACGGAGCCACTGGAGCCCGCGCGCGACAAAGCCCCACCAGTCCAGACTGAAATCAGCCCTCGGAACATACACTACCACCACTAGCACCACCACTGGCACTGTGCTGCAAAGTGTAGTAGTCGTGAGTCGAGTTTTCTTTCCGTCGCGGCTGGTGAGTTCTCTAAGCTGGACCTTGTAGTGTGTGTATATATTAAAGTTGTGCGCCAGTGTGGGATCTGCGTTAGTCTGGTCAAGAAGTACATTTTGCTAGTGCAAGGTGGGTTGTTACTACTTTGGCGGCTCCAGCTAGTTTGGTGTTTGCAGCTGTTGCATTTGGGAGCTTTGGGGTCGTGTGGATAAGTAATACGCACCCATGGGCCTGGGTCGCAGCTGGGACGTTGTGTGATGAACTTTACACTGTGATGCGTTTTGGATGGCGACTGATTTTGCTTGAGTTCAAAGGGTGGGTTTGCACACATTGTATACTAGTGCATGTGGGCATTGCGTGTTGGGCAATTCCTAGGATGTCTGACTGTCTTTATATATTTATTTATTTTGCTTTGTGAAGTCTCAGCAAGTTGTTGTTACTTATGCTTCTCAGGGGTGCGCAGTTCACTCAGTTTGAGTTACGTGGTTGGAGCTTAACTTGCTTATGCATCTACGCTAGCACCAGCACCGTTTCAGTGCGTGGGTCTCGGAGGAAGGCGCCAGCGGCCTCGCGGTCTGAGCTAAGTTTGGAAGTGGGAGGTACAAGGGCTGAAGCCAGCTTAAAGCTTTTGATCGATCAGGCTTCGTTTGCGGCATCAGCTGTGGGTCTTGCAGGTGGACGAGGTGGCTAAGTAGGTCTTATTATTTTTCGGGAGGGAGAGAACGAGTGAGAGGGGAGATTCAGCACGCAGTTGCTGCTTCTCTCTCCCTCCTTTTCTTCGGACGGCAGGAGAGAGGACGGGAGGCAGAGATCCACAGTGGCTTCTTCGTCACTTGACATTGCCTCCCTCTTCTCTCTAGTTCCTTTGCTCTCGGTGCCAATTTGTTTCGTGTCCGTTTCCGGTTGACATTTTACTCCTGTCTTTAGTAAAGTATTCACTTTCTAAGTACGCTTAGTATACATACCTTTTCACACATACGATATTTCCCGACTAGCATCATTTGTACCCGGAAGCACCTGAACTGTCTCGTATGAGTCTGTGTTCCAGTTTGAAGTGATAGCTGAAAGGAGGAAAGGGGCTTCTTGGGGTGAAGACTTGGGGGGGGGACTTTGGTAGATGGGTTGTTGCCTTTTATGTTGCATCTGGTGACGTAGGTCGTCGGCCCTCTACCGCTGAGCAGTACTTCTACTAGTGGACACACCCGTCCATAAAGAGCCACGTTCTCACGAAGTAGGTCCCGGTGAGGTTGACGTCGAAGCTTGCGCCAGTCTTTTGCAAGTGCGGCGCATGCACAGTGTCTCAAGTCCAGCACATCTTTGTTAAAGTCAACAGGATTTCTGGGAGTGGAGTATGTAGTTCGGTCTTGGCAGCTACTTGATGGTAAAACTTTGAACGGAAAGTTCCACAGATTGTGGATTCAAGTATTTGAGCGATCTTCAACCCTTCGCAAACAATCATCTGCCAGTGACGACCTTCCGCAATTGACCAAACATCCCAGAAGGCGCCATCTTTTACAGGGCCACTTTCAAGTAGTGAATGTTGAGGTAAACCTCTCAAACTCCCAATATATCTTGGAGAGAGACTAAAATGAGAGTAAGCCAGAGATTCAACATTTGATACTAGGGTAGAAGGGCTTTAGGAAGTTCACGTTGTGGAAGCCGGATGAGGCTTGGAGGCGTTACCGTGCAAGTACCTCCTAACGGCAATCTGGGCAATCTGGGGCGTAGCTTTGGGGAACTGGGTGGCATGCCCACTGGAGCGATGGCACCCCCTCGTCAGATTCCTCCTTTGGCCATGCCTCGTCCGCCTCCAAAGCACTACTCGTCCCCATCCTTGTCGCTAGGACCACCCACGGGTCTAGATGGACAGCGAGAAGTTAGTCAGACTGCAGACAACGAGCAGCAGCAGAAAAACAAGGAGGAGGAGTATGAGTCTCGCTCGGGCAGTGACAACATGGAGGGAGGGTCAGGCGACGAGGATCCTGATAACAATCACCCTCGCAAGAAAAGATACCATCGGCATACACCTCGACAGATTCAGGAAATGGAGATGTTATTCAAAGAGTGTCCGCATCCTGACGACAAGCAGCGCCAGCAGCTTAGCAAGGATTTGGGCCTGGAGCCCAGGCAGGTCAAGTTCTGGTTCCAAAATAGACGCACGCAGATGAAGGCACAGACGGAGCGAGCAGAGAACTCAATGTTGCGTGCCGAAAACGAGAAAGTGCGGTCCGAGAATTTGATCATGCGGGAAGCTCTGAAGAATCCCCAGTGCCCTCATTGCGGTGGTCCGGCTACTGTAGGCGAGATGACCTTCGACGAGCAGCAGCTCCGTATTGAGAACGTGAGGCTGAAAGAGGAGCTTGATCGAGTATCGGCTCTTGCAGCCAAATACCTAGGCCGGCCAATCACTCCCATGGCTCCTCTAGCACTGCCGAGCTCGTCCCTGGATCTCCAGGTGGGAGGTGGGAGCAGCTTTGGCGGGATGCACCCAACGCCTGGTAACCTTGATCTGGTAGCGGGGCCAAGTGTTGCAGATGTGGCGACGAGGCCCGGGGGATTGACGGAGGCTGAGAAGCCTATGGTGGTGGAACTCGCGATGATGGCGATGGAAGAGCTGGTGCGAATGGCACAGGCAGAGGAGCCTCTGTGGTTGAGTATGGATAGCGGCAAGGCGCAGCTGAACTACGACGAATACATGCGGCAGTTTCCACGGGGCATTGGGATGCGGCCTTCAGGTCTCAAACCGGAGGCGACCCGCGAGACTGCGCTGGTGATGATGAATGGTGTGAATTTGGTAGAGACGCTAATGGACGCGACGCAGTGGATGGATATGTTCCCGTGCATGGTTTCGCGGGCATTGACGGTGGACGTGCTGTCGACGGGTGTAACAGGCAATCGAAACGGCGCTTTGCAGCTGATGTACGCGGAGCTGCAGGTGCTATCGCCGCTCGTGCCAACGCGAGAGATATACTTCTTGCGGTACTGTAAGCAGCACGCGGAGGGCGTGTGGGCAGTGGTAGATGTGTCGGTGGACTCGCTGCGAGACAATCCACCTCCGTCGCTGATGAGATGCCGGCGTAGGCCATCTGGGGTGCTTATCCAGGACACTCCGAACGGGTATGCGAAGGTGACGTGCGTGGAGCACATGGAGTATGATGATCGTGCGGTGCATCGGATGTACCGGGAGCTAGTGAACACCGGCATGGCATTTGGTGCTCAAAGGTGGCTCGCCACTCTTCAGCGGCAGTGCGAGAGGCTGGCTAGTCTTCTGGCGAGCAACATCGCATCCCGGGATTTGGGCGGCGTGCCAAGTGCGAGCGGGCGGCGGAGTATGCTCAAGCTGGCCCAGAGGATGACGAACAACTTCTGCGCGGGAGTGAGTGCGTCAACGGTGCACACATGGACGACATTGTCTGGTAGCGGGGACGACGACGTGCGCGTGATGACCCGAAAGAGTGTGGACAATCCTGGAGAGCCTCACGGCATCGTGCTTAGCGCGGCGACATCGATGTGGTTACCGGTGTCTCCGGCGCGAGTGTTCCAGTTCCTCCGGGACGAGCGATTGAGGAGTGAGTGGGACATCCTGTCGAACGGTGGGATAGTGACAGAGATGGCGCACATTGCGAAGGGCCAGGATCCTGGCAACAGCGTGTCGCTGCTGCGGGTTAACGCGATGAACTCTAATCAGAGCAACATGTTGATATTGCAAGAGAGCTGCACAGATGTGTCGGGTTCGCTGGTGATCTACGCGCCGGTTGATATCCCAGCGATGAACTTGGTGTTGCAAGGAGGGGATCCCGCGTACGTTGCGCTGCTGCCTTCCGGGTTCGCAATCCTTCCTGACGGACCGGGAGGTGAAAGAGGATCTTTGGGAGTCGACCAGGGCAGTCAACTGACGGAAAGCAGTCGCGGAACTGGGTCGTTATTGACAGTGGCTTTCCAGATTCTTGTAAGCAGCATTCCATCAGCGCGGCTGTCTCTGGAATCAGTGGCGACGGTGAACAATTTGATATCGTGCACTGTGCAGCGGATCAAGTCAGCGTTGCTCGTGGAGGACGCATAGGGAGCCACGGATGGTCAGTATCAGCGCGGTCTTTTCCCTCTCGGAGGTGATGTATGGGTGGGCGCCTCTGCTGGGCCACCACGCGTAGTGAGAATCGAATTGCTGTGGGTCTGCTGGAAATGAGACGACGATGGCGGATCATCAGTATTTCACTTGGGTGATGGACGAAGCAAGGCAGATAGTGCGAACGGCAGGATTCGGTGGGTACAATTGAGGAGCCTTCAAGACTGTGTGTAGACTCACATTGAGCGTGGTCTTGAGCGCTCCTCAGGGGGGGAGAAGGAGGTGAGCAGCAGGTCGACACCGAATTGGACGAAACGGAACAACAAAAAACACGACTGGACGCCATTTTAGCGATTCATTGGCACACACGGAATATACAGACACGGCATAGGGGTAGGAAATGAGTCAAGAGCGAACCACCACTGATGGCCCTCTCTGCGTGGTTCATGGTGTAGTCCTTAGCCTTTGGTGCTACTGCGAAGAAAAAGCCTGAAATGGCTCTCTCTTCATGGAAGAAAAATGTCATTTTGAAGTAGCTCAAGGATTAATAGCCTAGACACGCGCGCGCGCGGTCCTCTCGAGGCCCCGCTCCTGCAGTTGGCGCTGGCATCATCAACTTGCATAGCTTCCTCCGTGCAGGTGCCGCACCACGTAGCAAGGGTAGTGGTTCGGGTATTGACTTACCTTCAACCCTCCTCTTTCATTTCTCACTGCAACATTCAACGTTGCTCATCTGATCCTGTCATCGACAGCTCTATGGATTTTGGACCCTGTAATCACCTCTTCCATGCAATGTATTTAACTTCCCATGCTCTGGCTTTGCTGGGTTTGAATCTATTTTTCTCATCAGCCCTGTTACTTGAAGCCATGGTGCTGCAACTCCATCACAGATTGACACGTCGTGTTACTGATAAGTGTCACAGTTTCTGAAACGCGGCAAATGGAGTTGCATTCTACAAAAAGTTTTTGGAGAAACTATGATAGGAGATACACAAGTTGTGTTATTCTTTCAGTCATAAAAGCCGTGCGAAATTTAAGTCCGTGTTGTGTGAATCACTTGGTTATTAGTAACGAACTCAGCCAATTGTTGTTTAATGCACGTCTAACGGAAGGAAATGAGATTCCTACAAACTGGTTACTTGATGTAGTCTACTTGATATGTCCAAATTTAAACCGAATTTTCCATCCAACGAAGTTTCTAAGTTTTTAGGAAGAATATAGAACGATCTGTAACTTATACCCTTATGATGTTTCTGTGTTCAGTGGGTTACATTGCTCGGGTGTACCACTGCAGAGCTGAATATGATTTGTGATGTAATAGTCAATCGTTACTTATAAATATAAATATATTTTCCTCTATAGTATAAAGCTTTGTAATTGGATACAATATCATTAACTACTAAGGTAAATTTTAATGCTTAATGTACATCTAGTTATTTAAAAGTTTAAATATTTTAAATATAAATTCATGGGTTGAAATTCAAGCTCATATGCAGGCCCTTCTTATATAGGACATTGGAAATTTTGTCCTACATGATGTAATATAGGACACACATAATAGTGAATGGAGAATGTGAAACACAAAAAGGCCAGCTTTGCATGTGAAGTCCAAAAACTGCTTCATGCCGTCTTGAAATTGTAGTCTTATAACTATGAAAGTAAAATAAATCTCCTTACTCTCTTAATGTACAAAAAAATCCCTAATGATTTCATAGTAAATGTCTTAAATGTTTCAATTTGTATAATCTATGCACTTTATTAAAAAAATTAATATAATAATTAATACAAAATCTACATTAAATTTAAACTAATACATATTTTTTTCATAAATCAAACATTGTTATATAACAATGTTAGTGATCTTAATACAAAATTGGATACAAAACATATTCTAATTATAAAATACAATTGATATAGAAGATTCATTAAAAACATATTTAAGTTTAGAAAAATAACCATCAATGTTATTTTATATATATGTTTATACATATATATCAATTTAAAATTTTAAAATAAAAATTCTTAAATCTACATATATTGAAATTTACAGATCATGCTAATAAAAATTTAAAATAAATTTTATTATCAAAAAATTCTATTTAACTATTTACAAAAAGTCTAATCTGCAAAAGGAATTTTGACCCATCTCCAATAGTTTGCATTCAAAACATTGAGAAGTTTTTGATAATTATAGAAGTTTTACAATACATGAAGGACAATCATATATTGCAAATAATAAGTTTGAACAACTATGGCAATATTACTAATTGTTTTGTAATGCAATAATATATATGCTTAATTAATGATTATGCAATTGATTTGAGCCAAAGTTCCTTTATTTTTGCAATACTCATCTTCTTTAGATAAAAGACAACCATGTTGTGTGCAAACTTACAAAATTTGAAAAAATACTAGTAATACACTCTCATCTTCTTCCATATCATGTTAAGGAGTTCACCAAAACTTAGAAACTACAACCAAAAATAATCTCAAAAAATAAACCAAAATTTTATATTTAGTAATATAAAAATAATTCAATAAATATTAAAATTTTATTTTGGAATAAAATTATCCATATATATAATATTATGTGTAATATTTTAAGAAAAACTAATTCAATGTAAAAATTCAAAATATTTGAAAAACAATGAGAATATAGTTCTTAAATAATACTCTCTTTAATGATAAGTATATAACTAAATAACATCATGACATATTCATGTATGGAATGTGATTAAGAAAAAAGAAAAAAAGAAAAAAATACATCCAAATACCAAAGTGCATGATGTGATCAATTAATAAACTCTTACATATAAACAATCTTTCTAAAACTAGTCACAAGTAAACAATCATTAAATGATTTAATGAAAGACAAACAGACAAATATGTTTCATATTATGCAATAAGTAGTACAAAATATAAGAAACATTTTGAACCTTAATAATTTGTAAATAAGATTGAATGCATCATATAATTCTAGAACAAACTATGATAAAAATAAAAATAAAAAAGAGCCAAATAAATAAAAAATACTATATGTTTTGTTGGAACTTAATATTATTAATAAATATAACCAATCCCAAAAACAAAATGTCCTCATGAGAAAGAACAAACAAAGAATTTCTATGAATATTTCTATATTATTAAAGATGAAAGTAATAATCTAAAATTAAAATCTACATATATATATATATATATGAAAAGAACCAATGTCTATAACTTCACAAAAGACTTTATATCAAATATAGATTTTGATAAAAACATCTTTTATATGCCTTGAACTAATTATGCTTATCATAATCATTCATATAAACAAATAAAAGCTATTTCTACGCTTGCTCAAAAAAACACTAAATATCTTATATGTTAATACTTACGATTGATATTAATTTAAACACAATTGTTCTAAAATTTCAAATGAGTATACTAATTTTTTAAAAATAAATCAAGATAATAAGATTAAATATAAAATCTAACCTTTAATTTTTTTAGTCCTATGAACATCAAATAAAAAATATATATTATCATGTAATATTTTGCATTGACATATGTATCTAAAACATAATAAAGAACCAAATATATGTATAAATTGTACTAAATACTATCACTTTGCTCTATATAAATATAAATGTCTAAAATACCACAATATATTCTTCATATATAATCATAAGCAATGAAACCACTTTGTAGTCTAACTCAACTTTGATAAGTAATACTTCTTTTGTCCCAACATATCATCACCAGATCCAAATTAAATACATAACAAGCAATGTCTTAACAGTAATATAAACAAAATTACATTATATTTACATATCATATATTGAACATTTAAGATACTGATATACAACATTATTAACCCTACTAAAAGTAACATCCATTGCATAGATCATATCCACTACATCATAATTTGCTCTAACCACTCACCAACTTTAAAAAAAATGTGATCAATCCACAACAGTGAAATAACATTCAAGTTCTACAACACCTCAAAAACAGACCAATCCAACCGACGATTGCCCTACCTAAACCATATGTAAGTATCCTACAACACTAACAATAACATGCAAGCCATAAAACCCCACAAAAGTCCATCAATTCTAATGATAGATATATACCTCTTTAAATGGAGAACCAACAGCCAACTCTAGAACACATTACATGTTAAAAACAATCATTACAAACCTAAAGGCAACTCACTATCACCTCTTCAATTACAAAAACACTTGGAACTAAACTCTCAAATGGTATACCCTAAGCAATGCAAACGTACCATCCATATAGAAATCAACCAATGCAAAAATACCAACCAAATTCAAATCAATACACCAACATTCTACACATAGTGCCCCCCACTCATACAGCATATGTCAACTTTAAATTTCTTTTAAAAAACTCGTCACTTAATGTCAGATACTACTTGGATGCCGTAAAAGAATATAAACCAAAAATACTCAACCAATTGAATCCAGTCGTTACCAAAGAATTTCCTTAAAACACACATATTAAAACCACAACACATCCGCTTTATAAAACCAATCACACAAATGTAAAAATCTAAAAACTAGTGCACACCATAACATGCTTCATTCACGTCCCATCCCCATACTCTCTAACAATGGACACTCTAGCACAGAACCCAAACCCACAAGTCATTCATCCATACACACCATCAACAAAACTGACCGAAATTCCCAATCGAGACCATTACCCGCACGATTTTAGTCTGCGCTGTTCGTAAATGAAGAGTTTCGAATTGCACCCATCATCCCCCCAACCCAACCTATTATTCAAATCCAACCATAACAACACCACAGAAATGCATATCAAACACCACAAAGACATGCAGGACCACACGCCCACAAGCACCCATGCTCTTCTTTTCGCCACTTTCATCCGTTCATCATCAACCCCCTAATCAATACCCTTCCACACAACTCTACAACGGCTTCCCTTAACGTACCCATTCACTCTCCGCAATTTATCCATAACTCTCATCACACCATTCCTAAACCACTCACCACCTGGTAGCTCAACGCCTGTTCACATAACATTCAAACCCCCCCCCCCATGCCGTTATGACCATCATTGCCCAACGCAAGTACGCTCGGCCACCCCAGACCACCCTTAAAAGCCCAGATGCATTCAACCTCCTCGGCGTAGAATCCAAGTAAAGCCACAGCCAGTCCCATAATCACGCATGCCCCGCCTCTGCATGCAACCCCCCCCCCCCCGTACGTCATCACCATGCGTCAACCCCTCAATCCCGGCTTTTCTCTCCCTATCCTCTGGCCTGTAAATACTCTCTGAATCCCCTGTTGCTGCAAAGACAACGTCCATCCACCATTCTCACGCCCAGACCCACTTCCCACACGCCATGTCCCCTCATTCACTCCACCATATCCCACTCCCCTCCTCCCGGATCCCAACGTCGTTCTCCACATCTTCCAAGCCTCTCAACACTCCAATCCCCACAACCACATGCACGCCCCCTCGCCCCACCCCATCCCATGCTTCAATCCCAACACGCTCCACTCATCGTCGTCAATGTGCTGTGCAAAGCCATGCCATGCCCAACCCACATTCACAAACCTCCCTTACGCCCATACACCATCACATCCCCCACCCCTACCCCGTCTACGCTCTTCAACAGCACCCCCACCCCATCCATTCATTCCGACGGAGACGCACAATTCTAAACTAAGTTAGCCCGCAACCCCTCACACCACAGCACCATACGCCCATTTACTGCCCACACCATTCACCCCCACTCGCATTATTCATTTTCATCGCCCGTACGCGCCACTAACCCCCTGACATTTCACCGCCGTTCAGCTTGTCAGCCGGAA